TTCTCTCGAGCATCGGAGGCTGAAGGGTACCCTGATAGATGTATATAAAATTATGAGAGGCGTGGATAGGGTGGATATCGGCATCTCTTTCCCAGGTTGGAAATGTCAAATACTCAGGGACATAGGTTTAAGGTGAGAGGGGGAAAGTTTTAAGGAGATGTGCAAGAAAAGTTTTTATTCAGAGGTGTCTGCTAAGCACTGCCAGAAATGGTGGTAGAAGCAGGTATGATAGCAAAGTTTAAGAGGCATTTCGATCTACATATGAACAGACAGAGAATACAGGGTCACAGACTATATGCAGGCAGATGGGATTAATTTAGAATAGCATCATGTTCAGTATAGACATGGTGAACTGAAGGGTCTGTTCCTGTGCTGTACTGTTCCATATTTTATGTATTTTCCCTGGGACAGGTGTTAAGCTAACTGGTCAATTTCCTGCTTCGGTCTCCCTGCTGTTTTGAATAAAGAAGTTACATTCTCTAACATCTACACGAATGGAACCATATATGTATCAAGGAAGATTTGGAAAATTAAAACCGTTGCATCGAGTATCACATGAGCCACTTCTTTTAAGAACTTGGGATGAGGTCCATCAATACCGGCCACTTGTCAGCCACAGGTCCAACCGTTTACTCAGTACCACTTTTCTGATGACTCTGATTCTCGTGGGTTTCTCCCACTCTTCCATTTCCTGATGTATCACTACTTCTGGAATGTTACTTGTATTCTCGGTAGTGGAAACAGTTGCAAAAATATCTGTTCAGCTAATTCCTGAGTTGAAGCAGTTGTGTCGAGGGAAGATTGAGCAGGTTGAGCCTGTACTTGGTGAATTGTAGAAGAATGAGAAGTGGTTTTATTGAATCATGTAAAAATCTAGGGGAATTTGGCACATTATTTGCTAAGAGCATGTTTCTTTAGTGGGGGAATCTAGAATTTAAGCATTGATGAAAGGAACTCAGAAGAGCAAAGCTTGCACTCATCAGGACTGGGATGCAAGAACCAAACTAAGAAAGGGAACAACAATTGGTACAAAATGAGAAGTCAGTGCTGATTTGTTTCCCTTGCTAACATCTTTGTCACTGTGAAAAGCATGTCTTGGATGGGATCACCACCACCCTATTCAAAGCAAAGGTCAGTTACAAAGTTGGCACAAGGACAACATTTGAATGCAAAACTGCATCAATGAATTTCTACACACAACTTAATAAACATCAGCCTGGGCTCAATTTTACTATTGAAATGGAAAAATGAAACAAGTTCCTTTTCTCGATGTAATTGTTCAGATATCTGCCAGTTGTTTCTCTACTACTGTCAACTGCAATCTTACATTTAATATGTCTTGCAATTCATACAGTGCATGTGCTACATGATCAAATTTCTTAGCAACCTTGTCAATGCAGTTGTAGCCACCTGCTCAATATGAGTTTGAAATTGAGATAGTATGTACCAGGATTAACCTGTATGATAATTGCTGCATGAATTTCATGGAATTGTATGAAATGGCCTAAGGCTGTAATTTTGGTCCTGAAAGGTGACAAATCAATTTCAATTTACCTGGAAGGTGAAAGTTTGTTGAAGTTTGAGTAACAAGTTAAGTTATCTGTTTCACACTGCTACTTTGCAGTAAACATGAAAGGTATTGTGCGCTGAAAAGGTGCTGCCTTCAAGCTCAAAGACCGTTTTGCCAGTGCACAAATGAATAATGCAAATTAATACTCATATGATGCAGGTTTGTTGGCTGTCTGTCCCAAAAATGGAAAAATCAAACAAGTTCCTTTTCTGGATGTGATTGCTGAAAAATCTGACAATTGTTTCTCCACTACTCAACTGTAATTTTCTATTTAATATATGTGTTGGAATTCATACGGTGCATGTGCTACACGATTAAACTTCTTTTGACTGTCCATGACGACCATTGTGCTAACCATAATCAACTACTCCATGCTTGGAAATTCCCAGAACAAAGTGTCCAACATTAGATGTAATTCTGCTATCCAGTGCATTTAATAAGTAATTTTAACTATTCTGAGAATTACATTGGAAACCAACTTAAGATTAGCTATCAGGCTCAGTCTTGCCACATGCTTGCTGCAACATGTGTTTGCACACATGACCCCGTTCTTTGAGACAAAAGGATTTTGTCCATACTTTGCATTTTTTTTCAACAAGGAAAGAGAAAAGGAGACAGAAATACCTGCTGCCTTCCCCATGGCAACACCCTGACCAATCATTTTCTTCCAGCCTGGTCTGGTTTCAATCAACTAAGTTGGTTTAGTTAACATTTCCTGCTGCATTTCTGTATCAACCATGGTTTAACCAATCAGTATCCTTTTCCTATACTTTATAATTTGATGTTTTTCAACTGAATTTTGGTTTCTTGCATCCCAGTCCTGATGAGTGCTTGACAAAAAATTTAAATGTTGAGTCTCTTTTTAGCTACGTTGGTGTTCTGCACTAACAAGAAATTATTTGTATCTAGAAACTTGTGGGCAGAGTTTCAAGATAAATTTTAGATGGAAATGAGGGTGCATTTCCTCTCTGAGGATTGTTAGTTTATAAATGCTCTTCTACAGTGAGCAGAGGAAACTGTTATTGAAAACAAAACAGAAATTGCTGGATACATATCAGAAACATATCAGCCATGATCGAATGGTGAATCAGATGATGGGTTGAATGGTCTAATTTTTCTCCCACAGCCACTGATCTTACGGAGGTAAAAGAGAGAGAAAAAACAGCAGTTAGGTAGACAAAGGAATGGGTAACGATCAGCCTGGGAAAATCACTAGTTGCTCATGGGGACCCTTTGTGCCTGATGATGGTTTGGTTGTTACAGCAGCCCATGTGATGACAGGGCCTGCTGTTGTGGGGGTTGGAGGAAAGATGTGGAAGAAGGTGCTCAGGCCGTAAAATTATTGAACTCAATATTGAGTGTTGAGGGCTGCAGGGTCCCCAAACAGAAAAAGAGATTCTGGTCTCTCAGCTTACACTGAGCTTCGCTGGAGCACTGCAGCAAGCCTGAGACAGAGACGTTGGCTAGTGAGCACAGTGGAGTGTTGAAGTGGCAGGCAACCGGAAGCTAAGATCACTTTTACAGAGAGAACACAGGTGTTCTACAAAACACTCAGTCAGTCTGCGCTTCATCTCCCCAGTACAGAGGAAACCATGTTGTGAGCAGTGAATACAGTAGTCTAGATTGAGAGAAGTGCAGATAAATCACTGCTTCTCCTGGAAGGTCTGTCTGGGGCCTTGGATAGTGAGAAGGGAGCAAGTAAATGGGTAAATGTTAAATTTACGATTACATGAGAAAATGCTGTGCAGTTGTGGGGAGGCATTGGGAGAGGAGAATGATCAGTTCAAGGTGTATGAGAAAAAATGGTCCCTGAAGAAAGCTCACCAGGGAGGAGAGGAATATATGGCTTGTGGTGGCAGCCCCTTAGAGGTAGTGAAAGTGGCAGCTGATGATTCTTCAAATGTTGATGCTGTTGGGAGGGAAGTGAGGCCAGGAGGACCTTGTCACTATTGTGGGAGGGAAGAGTGGAGGTGAGGGCAGAATTGTGGGAATGGGTTAGACAGAGCAAAGGACCCTGTCAACCGCAGTGATGGGAATCCTCAATTGAGAAAGAAGGTGGATATTTTGGAGCTTGTGGAAGCTGGCATAGTCAGAACAGATGTGACAGAGACAGAATCTGCGACATTGGAATGGAGTCTTTACAGGAAGTGGGGTGTGAGGACATATAGTCCAGGTAACTGTGTGAGTCAGTAGGTTTGTACTAGATATTGGTGCCAACCTCCTCCCAGAATTGGAAAGAGATGTCAAGGCAGGGGAGGGAGAAGTCAGAGATGGAGCAGGTGAAGGTAAAAACAGAGTGGAAGTGGGAAGCGAAATTGATAAATGTTTCCAATTCAGAATGAGAGCGAGAAGCAACACGGGTTATGTCAGCGATGTAGCAGTTGTGGGGATGGACTCAAGTAAGACTGAAACCAACATGTTCTGCATACCCCACCAAGTGATACGCATGTCTGGGGCCTGTGAAGGTACCCATGGCAACACCTTTGATCTGAAAAAAGTGAGGCGTTAAAAAAATTGTTTAAGGTGCGGAGGAACTTGGCCAGGCAGAGGAGGGTGGTGGTGGATAAGAAAGGTTCAGGCCATTTTTTTTTGGGAAGAAGCTGAGACCCCAAGATTATCCTGATGGGTAGTGTACATATAAATGGATTGCATATCAATGGTGAAAAGGAGGTGGCTGGAGCCTGCAAACTGCATCGGAAGAACAGGGGATGTAAGTGTTAAGGGACTGTAATTGAATATGTCCTGTGGTGAATGAGACAAATTGTTGATTCAGAAGGGTCAACTAATGTGGAGGGCAGGCACAAAGGTAGAGTTATGACCACAATCAGCCACGATTTTAAGTGAATGAGAAATCAGTTCAGATAAGTACATGAATAGAAAAGGTTCGTGGAGGGGGGACAATATGGACCAAACGCAGGCAAGTGGGACTAGTTTAGTTTGGGAACACAATTGATCTGGACTTGTTGGACCGAAGGGTCTGTTTCTATGCTGTTTGACTGACCGAATGGCTTACTCCTATCCCTGTTTCTTATGAAGTTTTATCACTTGTGCAACAAGGATTCCAAATGCAGGCTCTCAGTGTATAACTTGACTTTATTTATAAATTAGATTGCAGCTTGAAATAATCAGGAAGGCGGTGTATGTGTACAGCTTTGATGCACTGAGGTTGTCAGTCACATGCGGCTACTGCATTTCCGTGTTCTGAGTTTGTTGCAATGTTATTTCCTACAAAGTGTGTCTGACCAGAATGGCGCCATCCTGCTCCTCAACCAATAGCCAGACTATTCAGCCGTGGGGGCGGAGGATGCAGCTGAGTGAACGGGGTAGCGCCGAGGCTCCTGGGAACTGTAGTCTGGAGGTGTGGTGGGACTGGAATTGCGACTGCGTAGTGAGGGAGAAAGGACGCGCCGTTGCTCGTCGAACTACAAGCCCCAACGGGCACAGGGCTGTGGCCGGCTGAGCGCCTGCGCGCTCTACTGCCACACAGCGGCCGGGCGGAGTTCGTACATCACCGCCGCGGCTCTCGCTGCATTGTTATCGGGGGAAAGGCTGCACCCTGTAAGCCAGCAGTGCCAGGCCCCGCCGCCATCTTACTGCGCTCTCGTTGCTCCGAAAAAGAAACGACTGACCGACTAGCGTCTCGAATCCTCCAGCTTTTGCTTTTCCTTTGCTGTTTTTGCGGGCGGATAAATCGAAGTGACCCCTGGTAGAGTCGATTTAAGGGCTAGCTCGAGCGGGGCTCCGCCTTTGCCCGTGTGCGTGTTGGCGGGCGGACCGACCGACCAACAGACTGTCTGAAGCTGTGGCTGCTTTGGCCGAGGCCGGGGCCCGGCTCGGGCTCCCTCACGTGCGGTGAGTGCTTTGTTTAATCAGGGGCTGAAGGCGGGTGATCGGGGAGCAAGGGCCTGGCCTCACGTGGCGGCTGCTTTGTGCGCGGAAGCCGTGGCGCCGGGGCAGCTCCCCTCCCCCGCTCTCCCACTCTCCGTGGCGCAGTTGGCGTGGCGGTGCCTGGGAGCCGGGGCCCGGCGGGCTCTGAACCTTCTAGAAGCCGAGCCCAGCCCGCGGCCATCAGCTCATTGTTGCAGCCGGTTACATCATCCAGGTTCCCGGGCACGTGATGGTCGAGCCCCCCCCACCCCCCGTGTCCACCAACGACCCCCCGCGTCCAAACCTGACTCCCCCCACCCCCACATGTCCACCCCCGATTTCCTCCAAAACCGACAACCTCACATCCACCTTCAGTCTGAAGTCTCCAGTCTCTTTCTCTGTATTCCCCCCCATACAAACAGCCACCCACCCACCAACCATATCCAGCAACTTAGGGTCTACCCTTTATCTCCTTCAAGGCAGGTGTCTCATCTACTTGTCCGTCCCAATCCCACAATCCAAGTTGTGTAAATGGCCAAATGCATGGCGGATGAAATATAATGTGGATAAATTTGAGGTTATCCACTTTGGTATCAAAAACAGGAAGGAGGATTATTGCCTGAATGCCCTTTTCCCAATCTACAGGCAGTGCAGTGAGACTTTGGTATCATTTGTGTACCAGTTGCTGAAAGTTAAGCATGCAAGTGGCGAAGAAGGCAAGTAGTATGTTGGCTATTTTAAGAAGAGGATTCAAGTAGCAGGGATGTTTTGCTGCAATTGTACACGGCCTTAGTGGGACCACACCTGGAGTATAGTGTCCAGTTTTAATGCCCCTATGTGAGGAAGGATGTTATGGAGAAGAAAGGGGAGCAACAAAGATTTACCAGACTGATTGTTGCTGGGATGGCAGCATTGACAAGCCTTGATTAGTTAGGACTGTATTTGTTGGAATTTAGAAAACTGAGTGAGGGAATCTGATTAAAAACATACAAAATTCTAACAGGATTAGACAGGGTAAACTCACGAAAAGTGTTCCCAATTAAGGATACAAGGTCAGCCATTTAGGACTGAGATTAGAAGAAATTTCTTCACCCAGAGTCATAGAGATGTACAGCATGGTCCAACTCATCCATGCTGATCAGACATCCTGAATTAGTCTAGTCCTACTTGCTAGCATTTGGCCCACCCATCCAGATGGCTTTTAAATGTTGTAATTGTTTCATCCTCCACCACTTCCTCTGGCAGCTTGGTCCATGCATGCACCACTCCCTGTGTGAAAAGTTGCCTCTTAGGTTCCTTTTAAATCTTTCTCCTCCGTCCTTAAACCTGTAGTGGTGGATACACCTAAATGGAAAAATATGAAAGAAATGACAGGGAAGGACAATTCAGGAGAGGTTATTAAAGTCTCCACAGACACAAATACGACAGTGTTTGGAAAAGGCTAGCAATCAAACACTGGAAAAACAAATGAAAATGAGAAGAGGGAGGGTTAATACAAGACTGAAGGTGTTATTCCTTATACTGCATGCATTCAGATATAAGGTAAATGAGCTTGTGGCGCAGATCGAAACTGGCAGGTATGACATGGTAGGCATCACGGAGATGTGGCTGCAAGGAGGTCAGGATTGGCAACTGAATATCCAAGGATATACATCCTATCGAAAAGATAGGCAGGTGGGCCGAGGGGGTGGGGTTGCTTTATTAGTGAGAAATGAAATTAAATCAATAGGAAGAAACGAAGTAGGGTCAGATGGTGTAGAATCTGTGTGGATAGAATTGATGAACCGCAAATAAAAAAAACATAGTTGGGGTTGTGTACAGGCCTCCAAACAGTAGTCAGGAGCTGGGGCGCAAGATGCACCAGGAGATAGAAAAGGTGTGTAAGAAAGGCAAAGTCATAGTGATCATGGGGGATTTCAATATGCAGGTGAACTGGGAAAATCATGTTGGTAGCGGATTGCAAGAAAAGGAGTTTGTGGAATGTCTACGAGATGGCTTTTTGGAGCAGCTCGTGGTGGAGCCCACAAGGGAACAGGCAATACTGGATTTGGTGTTGTGCAATGAGGCAGACTTGATAAGGGAGTTTAAGGTAAAGGAACCCTTAGGAGGCAGTGATCATAATATGATAGAATTTACTCTGTAATTTGAGAGGGAGAAGATACAATCAGAGATGACGGTATTACAGCTGAATAAAGGTGACTACAGAGGTATGAGGGAGGAGCTGGGCAGAATTGACTGGAAGAGGAGCCTAGCAGGAAAGATAGTGGAACAGCAATGGCAGGAGTTTCTGGAAGTAATTCAAGAGACACAGCAAAAATTCATCCCTAGGAAAAAGAAGCATAGTTCAGGGAGGATGAGGCAACCGTGGCTGACTAAGGAAGTCAGGGATAGCGTGAAAGCACATAATGTGGCAAAGGACAGTGGGAAACCAGAGGACTGGGAAGCTTACAAAGAGCAGAGGGCAACAAAAGAAGAAATAAGGAGGGAGAAGATTAAATATGAGGGTAAGCTAGCTAGTAATATAAATAAAGACTGTAACAGTTTATTTTGGTATATAAAGGGCAAAGAGAGGCAAAAGTGGACATTGGACCACTGGAAAATGATGGTGGAGAGATGGTCGTGGGGAACAAGGAAATGGCTAAGGAACGGAATAATTACTTCGCGTCAGTCTTCACGGTGGAAGACATGAGTAATATCCCAAAAAGAGTCAGGGGGCAGAGCTGAGTATGGTGGCCATCACCAAGGAAAAGGTGCTAGTAAAACTGATTGGCCTGAAGGTGGACAAATAACCTGGACCAGATGGACTACACCCCAGAGTGCTAAAGGAGGTAGCTGAAGAGATAGTGGAAGCCTCAGTGGTGATCTTTCAGGAATCACTAGGGTCAGGGTGAGTCCCAGAGGACTGGAAAATCGCTAACGTGACACCCCTGTTTAAGAAGGGAGTAAGGCAAAAGATGGAAAGTTACAGGCCGATTAGCCTAATCTCAGTTGTGGGTAAAATTTTGGAGTCCATTGTAAAGGATGACATTGCTGAATATTTGGAAGTGTATAGTAAAATGGGGCAAAGTCAGCATGGTTTCATCAAGGGGAGGTCATGCCTGACAAATCTGCTAGAATTCTTTGAAGAAGTAACGAGCAGGGTAGACCAAGGAGAGCCAATGGATGTTATTTACCTGGACTTCAAGAAGGCCTTTGATAAGCTGCCACACAGGAGGCTGCTGAGTAAGATAAGGGCTCATGGTGTTAGAGGCAAGGTGCTAGCATGGATAGAAGATTGGCTGTCAGGCAGAAAGCAGAGAGTAGGGAGAAAGGGGTCTTTCTCAGGATGGCAGCTGGTGACAAGTGGAGTTCCGCAAGGGTCAGTGCTGGGACCACAACTTTTCACTTTGTACATTAATGATCTAAATGAAGGAACTGTGGGCATTCTGGCTAAGTTTGCAGATGATACAAAGATAGGTGGAGGGACAGGTAGTCTTGAGGAGGTGGTGAGGATGCAGAAGGGCTTGGACAGGTTCGGAGAGTGGGCAAACAAGTGGCAAAGTGTGAGGTCATGCTCTTTGGTAAGAAGAGGAAAAGCATGGACTGTTTTCTAAATGGGGAGAAAATTTAGAAGTCTGAAGTGCAAAGAGACTTGGGAGTTCTAGTCCAGGATTCTCTCAAGGTAAACTTGCAGGTTAATTCAGTAGTCAGGAAGGCAAATGCAATGTGAGCATTTATTTTGAGAGGACTTGAATATAAAAGCAGGGATGTACTACTGAGACTTTATAAGACTCTGGTCAGGCCACATTTGGAGTATTGCGTGCAGTTTTGGGCCCCATATCTCAGGAAAGATGAACTGGCCCTGGAGCAGGTTCAGAGGAGGTTCACGAGAATGGTCCCAGGAATGGAAAGCTTAACATGAGGAACATTTGAGGACTCTGGGATTATACTCATTGGAGTTTAGACGGATGAGGGGGGATCTAATTGAAACTTTCAGAATACTGAATGACCTGAACAAGGTGGATGTTGGGAAGATGCTTCCATTGGTAGGAGAGTCTAGGACCCGAGGGCACAGCCTTAGAGTAAAGGGAAGACCTTCTAGAATGGAAAAAGGAGAAATGATTTCAGCCAGAGAGTGGTGAATCTATGGAATTCACTGCCACAGAGTGCTGTGGAGGCCAGGTCATTGAACAGGGAAACCAGAATTGCACGCAGTATTCCAAAAGTGGCCTAACCAGTGTCCTGTATAGCCACAACGTGACCTCCCACTCCTATTTTCAGTGCGCTGATCAATAAAGACAAGTGTACCAAATGCCTTCTTTACTACCCTGTCTACCTGCGACTCCACTTTGAATGAACTGTGCACCTGCACCACTAGGTCTCTCTGTTCAGCAATACTACCCAGCGCTTTACCATTATGTGTATAAGTCCTGCCCTGATTTACCTTAGCAAAATGCAGCACTTCACGTTTATCAAAATTAAACTCCATCTGCCACTCCTTGGCCCGTTTGTCTGTGTGATCAAGGTCCTGTTGTACTCTGAGGTAACCTTCACTGTCCACTACACTACCAAGTTTGATATCATCTGCAAACTTAACCAACCATACCTCCTATCGACAGATCCCGATCATTTACACAAATGACAAAAAGCCGAGTGGTGAGCCTGTGGAATTCTCTGCGCAAAAAGTGATTGAGGTTAAAACTTTGAATGTTTTCAAGGAGTCACATGTTCTTGAGGCTAAAGGATATGGGGAGAAAGTGGGAAGGGGGTATAAAGTTGAATGATCCACTATGATATTAAATGGTGAAGTAGGCTAGAAGGGCCTCTTCCTATTTTTTACATTTCAGTGTAACCTCCCGCCCAATTTGTGAGTCCTGTCTGTCTGATGTATTTTCCTGCACCTTTCTGATATGACAAATCCTAGAGCTATGAAAGCATAAGTTCTCTGTGATCTGATGAAAGTTTGCTATGACTCTGTAAACCTTTTTTCTGTTTCCTTTGTTGCT